CAAGTCTGCGGCATCGTATTCTACTAACAAAGACCTTTAATTTGATGTGCATATCAACTTATGTTTACATTAAACATTTTATTCTGACATCTAGTGGGCCGTCCATTTGAAGAGGTAGTGTATCACTGAATCATATGTTAAAATTATTTTAATGACCAGTAACTGTGTACCAAATTTTAAAGCTCTAACTTTATTATTTTTTTATATTTAACCGTACCGGGAATTTTTTCCACCCTGTATAATATGCAGAAACAAATATTTCCTTAAAAATACAGCATATGAATACCATAGAAAGACTAATACTAAGTTATCAGAAGTTACTAATTACTAGTTTACACTACTTGATAGTGCATTTATCCGTTGCTCAAGTCAAACATTTTTACTGACACTTACAAGTACACTGTAAATATTGTTTACAGTTTATTTTCTATTTTTCTTTCTTTAAGCCATACATTACCCATACAAAAATGCTTCGATTTGTCCACTCCAGTGTGTTCTAGAACGTTCCACAATGTTCCAAGATGTCCTCGAACATTCCAGAGAACACTGAAAGGTGTAACCAACTTGACTGTGTTCTATCATAGATAAAAGGAGTGTTCTATGTAACACCTTGAGTGTTCAGTGGAATCCATGTTCGCTACTGACGTTGCTCGTTTCACAGCTTTCGTGTGGATGTAAACTTTTACTCTAATTGCTACATTTTTGCACGTAAGCATCATCCGCTTTTCCCCTCATGATAGTATTTTACGCAATGCGTTTCTTTAGATCTTCAGTATCTTCACACTTCACGTATACTTAACTGTTCCTTCAATTATTTATTTCAAGTGAGACAAATATTTTCTAGCAATATTACAAATAGTTACCATTTTATAAATCTTTAAAAATCAATCTATCAACATGTTATTCCTGATGACTTCGTGGTAAAAACTTGTTCACAGTATGGCAAAACCATATAAATTTACTAAAACTTAATAAATATCTTACAATAAATATAAATTAAATAAATGGGAAAAAGTACAAAACCCCTAATGAGAGGCTAAAACAAACATTAATTAGAACAAAACTATACATTAAGAATCACAAGTAGACGCTTCATTTTTATGATGTTTTTAAAAGAGACATTTATGGTTTTTTTTACGATGCCAAAAGGTTTTTGAACTGAAAAGTAAATTGTAAATATACATATTTTAAAAATATATATATTGTAAAAATACATATTGTGTTCCATATAATAGTAAATTCAATAGAGCAATCTGGAAAACATTCAAAAATTCTAAATTAAATGTAAGTTACCGAACCAAAAACAACGCATTATAAGTAATTAATAAAAGAGCCAAAAAAATATAACAACCAAGTTGTAACATCAAAATATGGAAACTCCGGTATTTACAAAATTAAATGTTCAGATTGTGAAAAGTATTACATTGGACAGACAGGAAGGTCGTTCAATTGTAGATATAAAGAACATGTACAAGCGTTAAAATAAAAAAAATGTGACTAGTATGAAAAGTAATGTAGCAGAACACATGCTTAATGAGAATCATAAATTCACTAAAATAGAAACAGATATGACAATTTTGGACTATGGATCAAAAGGGAATAAATTAGATACAAAAGAAGAATATCATATATACTGCAGCTACAAGAATGATCCAACAAATATAATCAATACAATGCAAGTTAAGAAACAAAATCCTATATATGAAAAAATTTTAAAATTAAGAATATTTAACACAAACATCAAAAGGAGGATAAATTAAACAACCATAATACAATTTTATATATATATGACAACAATTCCATGACCAAAGATTATTTTACTATACATTTTAAGAAACGCAGAGGATACGCGTCCGGTAACCGGACGTGGATTAGGCGTCCGGCAGTTACTGTCATAACCTAACCTAACCAACCAAACTTGCTGATAGTGAAAAAAATCAAATGAAGGTTCAATTCTCTTCATAACATAAAATTATAAATGCCAAAAATTCTAACAAAAGATGTACAGTTAAGAAGAAATTACATTCAAAGCAAAATCTGTGACAAAAAGTTACAGTTCACGGTGGGTTTCGAACCGGGAACCTCTCGCATATCAGAAGAGCACTCTATCCACTACACCACGAACACTGATGTTTGAACATCGTATCATTGTGGTAATGGCGTTCCGGGACCCCCTACCGGACGCCTAATCCACGTCTGGTTACCGGACGCCTAATCCACGTCTGGTTACCGGACGCGTATCCTCTGTGTTTAAGAAAAAAGAAAAATCATATGTCAAGATCATCACATGATGTTTATTTGTTAATTAATTTGTTGTGTTTAAAGTGAGGTTAAATGTTACTCTTGTAAATGGCCTAAAGGTCGAAACATGTAGAGTTTTTAACAATAAAAATAATTTCAGAGTACTGAGTTAGTATGATTTATACATATATACATATTTACAGAATGCAAAATATAGACATGCAAAATATAAGGTAAAATACACAATTTTCTAGAAAATATCGCGTTGAAAAAATTAATTGGGAATTTGGATTTGTATACAAACTGAATCACCACTTTAAAATTCCTTGAAACCGGTTGGTAACGCTTTGATTTTTTTATGTACTGTATATTTTATTTTATTTTTTCTGGGTTTTCTGTGCGAATGGAATTTTTTACGTTTTGAAAGCCAACGATCCAAACCATATATACAGAATGTGTCGAGATGCCATGACCCCCTATGTTGGATTCCTTCATTGACGTACGGGTACAACCTACAACCCAGGTTCCTATCATTCAGTTCTGATCAACTTTTTTCAATATTAACTTAGGCCGTAAGTAACGAGCTATCCTTCTATGACTGCAGATAAACGTCCTCTTTAACTAATATCATAATTGTTGTCCATTTTAAGTGTGAAATTTGTCGAAGTTTAGGTTATTCTAAATGTGATAAGAATCAAATACAGACAGATGGATGGAAGGATACGCAATTTTGCTAATGTTTATGTTTATAAAAAAAAACATTTTTTTCAGGGCAAAAGACCAATCCACAAAATTGGCACCTCTTATGCCCCTTGTGTATCTTTAACCGAGAATTAGTCCAAAAGGTTCAAGACAAACATTCTCCCCACAGCCCTTTTCCCTTCCCCCACCACGGCTACCACTCCTGCCCTTCTCTTCATTGTTGTGTTGGTATCGCTGTCAGTCAGTTATTGTTGTGAGTACGGTCAGGACGGTCTACGACTTATCACTTGTTATCAGTGGGACCAACCGGCTTATCATTGAGGAAGGTGAGTTTTTAGCATAGATAAGTTTGTTATCATTGTTTGTTAAAGTATTTTTGTGTTGTGTGTACACTTTAAGGTAAGCTGTAACGTAAAGAAAGTATTTTAGTTTAGCAACTTGAAAATTATTGTAGTAGTTTTAATTAATTATAGTCGTGAAACCAGTTTGGCAAGAGTAAAATCTAAGCGAAATAATTTTTGTTGACCTCGTTGAAAACTTACGTTATTTTAAATATTATAAACATTTTACAATTACAGAAACAATAAGACTTATACTTACAATAACGTATTTCTTTTATGTCTTATCTATTGTTTAATATCATGTTTTTAATGTTCCTTATTCAAAAGTTCTACTGTATTTTTTTAAGGTATTTATCTAATTATATATTTTGATCATCTAGTTCTATTGTTTATTTTTAATGTAAAATCTGCTTTATTTCCTTTGATAAAACATTTACGACGAAATTGAATCATCACGATTATTGACCTTTTGTGGTTATTTCATTTCAATTGAAAGTACTGTACTGTGCTCGTAGCAACGTACCTTAAAACTAGGCAAGTTGTATTTTTATTTTTTATTGGGTCTGTTTACGCCGGTGTCATTTATCATTCACTGTAGTTTTTAATTTTATGTAAGGGCACAGTCAAAACACTGGTATTGATACTGTCTTTAACGTCGCCCTGTCGTTACATAAAAAGTAGGCCTATTATTAACCGATACCAGTTACAAATGGCATCTGGATCTGGCAACGATCTACATTTGCCTCATAGAATTTTATTCTAACAGGTTTATTGCCCTAAAGATTAACATCCAGTATAGAGTTGCAATTGCTCATTAATAACCGGGACTTAAACATTCCTTTACAATGAGCAAAATGAGGATGGACAAATCTGCTATGATTAAATAGATACAGCGAAAGACAACGGATTGATGTTAGCACGTAAAATACGTTTGTGACCGATAGAAGTAATTATTAAAGTTCAAATGTATTAAACTAAATTCTTTTTATTTTAAATCTAACTGAAAAGTAAAAGTATGTCGAGACAATAGTCTCACTACCTACCTACCAAAACTCTTCTTGAAGTGTAATATATTATATAATCTAAAAGATTTATAAAATAATTCGATCACAATCTTTGGACATTTTTCAGCTTGCCACTCTTATATTTTTAAATGTACTTACTACAAAATGTGAGTTAACTGTTTCCACTTCATAACTTACTTATGATTTAATTACTTTCGGAAATCAAATTGTGTTGCGTACGCATTGCCATTACTTTACTCTTTGGCCATAACAAAAGTGGACGAGCAATAACTTTATACAAGTTCTTTTCTTTTGAATTACATAATTTGAAAGTTTCTGAAATCATAAGAAATAAAAAGTATACATCAGCACGCAATTGACATAGGGACCGGTAAAGTCAGCTGGAGTGCGGTAAATGCACCGATCACTCTCACGTTCATCCACTTACTCTTTCAAAAAGCTATGATATGAGTTTATTTCTTGGTGGAAGGAAAACATAGGTGTGCTACTCCAGTCATAGACTGACGTCACCTGGATTGCAAACCAAAATCAGCTGATTTAACAAACCTGCCATATAAGTATATATTTGTTTGGATTTGATTGTTATTGTTTCTAAAATTATTTCCTAAATAGTTAAATGGCGTTTGCAATCCGGGTGACGTCAGTGTGACGGGAATAGCACAACATGTTTTTTCCTTCTACCATGAATTTATTCAGCCTTTTTGACGAAGCTACACATTAAACAAGTTGAAATATAAAGAATTCAGTAATTAATAAAGGAATGCATGATTGAGTTGGTGGAGTGATACTAATTGCCAGTGATAGCTGTTCGTTTGAAAACGAAGAAGGGAGTATTTTTGGAAGATAATTAATACAAGTAAACAATGTTATAAGTTATAAAATACGTTTGGTGATTTGGCGAAAAGAGTCACTTAAAGCCCTAATGATATGATCTGTAAGAAAGTCATATTTTTATGGGGGTATGTTAAATCTATAATGCAGCTTCACTAATCATCCTACAATAACGAAGATGAAAGCATGACTTGCATAAATTATTAGCCTAACATAATTGTAAAAAGATTGTCCATGGCAGCAAACTTTGAATTGGAAATATGAAATAACCCAATAACTGTTTGATTCTAAAATGTGGGATGTTTTGCAAAAAAGTATTATCAGCTTTCTTCAAGTGGTAATAGAATAAACGTCATATAAATCAAACAAACTTCAGGAAATGGTCAAATTTGTGTATCCATGGCAATTTGTTAACATGTTTACTTCATAACTTAGTGCCACGTAGAAGACCTCTTGTATAAGATCATTGAACCGTTTTGTCAATATATGCTGAATGGCAGTTGTGTCAATTCATCAATAGCTTACTATAATTGACGAACATCTTTGTTGAACAAACGTTCATCAAATATTTGTTCACAACCAACTACTTGATCAGTGACTTAGGCTACAAATTTATTGGACATTATATTCTCATGATGGAGTTGCAGCCAGTTGTTAAGCATAACTTTGGATGTCTTCCAATGATGTAGGTACCTCAACCGATAATACATTTAGTCATAGAGTAAAGCAACTATATGGCTGAATATATGGGATGTCTACACTTGTATTCAAAGTCGATGGTTTTAGTTAATAGTTAATGGAGGTTAATCCTTAGTTCAAAGAGGATCCATTCCCGTGTTGAATTTGTTGTCAGTTAGAATCAAATTAACAACCAATTGATGTACTGACAGAGTGATATACCTACTTCGAACAATAATTAGATACTGATTTCGGCCAAATACACCTACGTTTTAAGCAATCCAAACTGAAAGTACATATTCTGTAAACTACATAATATTGCAATCTTGTATGCCATATTAATTGTAAGAAAATCAAAAAAAGCTTATTCCTTATATGGGAAATTCGCTAAAACAAAGTGAAAATACGAATTTTGACAATAACTACTCTATGAGCAGCTCATTCAACTAGGTTTTGGATGAAAATTCTGCTACAGCTATTCCAAAAATATAAGATGGCTCCTACTTCAGTTTGTTTAGTCAAAAATACACACTCTTTCATGGATTGTAGAGTTTGCAACGCCTAGTCACCAAAAGTCGCCTAGTTACATCCCCATTTCAAAAAGGGGTGGTTCCAAGGTGCAATAAACGATAATGCAGGATCGTTGCAAATGTTCAAAACTTTGTTTATTTCTAGATGTTGAGGTTAGCTCATTTCCCGCGCTCGCGCGGATTTCGGCTTCGGCTTCTGGTAACGACATTGGCCAGCACATCTTACATAACCAGAGCAGAGTAATTAGCCAACACGGTCTGGTGCGTCTGCTGTCTTACAACTGTTTGTGAAACGTAGTCGAACCATAGATTAAGCTTGCTCCCTTATATTTCTCCATTAAATCCAGCAAGTAGTCTTCTCATCTTGTAAAATTTGAACTCTGTGTTGGTGTTAGTTTCTAGTGTAAAGATTTTGTTTCCAGATAAAATTTAATATGCTTACTGGTATGCCTAAAACTGTTATAGGATTGTACAATGTAAATTTTCCCACGAGACCGAAGAACCGAAGTCTGAGTGTGGGAAATATTTTTCATGTCAAAGTTACCTGTAATGCATTGATGTCAACTAAATTTTCTCTCATATCTTAAGGAAGATGTTACGATCAATGCCTCACTCATTAGTACACACTAATTAGCCGAGTAATACCATAGGACAAGAAACATATTTTTTTTTGTTTATACTCAGTTTAAAACGTTTCAAAGTTCGTTAAATAATTAAAGTAAAATAGTAAACAATATAACGTGCATTACATGAACCGGATAAAATAACCTTAAAATGACCTACAGCCAATTAAAATTATTAATCTATAAGAAATTACATTTTATCCAGGATTTTTTAACTTTATTGATCAACAAAAACAATAATACAAAAAAAATCAAAACAACTAAAAAAGGCAGAAGGTTATACAAATTACATTGTTTATATAATATTTTAGTACGAATGTTTATGATTAAAAGTATCACTAACTCAAATTCATTTCCCAATTAATTACTTGCAAATTGGTATGCACTTGGGATGGAAGTTTATACTCTTCTTTGTTATTGTAATGATTTAATAAGAATCTTAAAACAGGTCCTTAAAAATGTTAAGAATGGTTTTAAAGTTCTGTTTACTGTCTTTTTTTATAACTTAACGTTAATTATTTCCCTCTTGTACCTTTTCCTTAACATGACCTTAGATTAACCTTAACTATTCAGAACGTAACCAATTAACAACTGATGGAAAGATAGACAACACATAGTTTTTATAATAACCCAGTATAGTTTAGCAAGTCATTATTGCACTTGAACACTATCACCACTACCCTTTCACTCTCAAATGTTAATGTTGTTTCACCATTTACTATCTAAATAACGATTCTCAAATCACACGCAGAACTTTTAAACATATCGGCTTCTTTGCCCTCAACCATGTTTTCCCCACCATTAAATCAGGTAATTGTTTATCCAAGGTTGCAATCATTAACTTCTATCGCATTACCGTTAACTTATGTTCAAATTGATGACATCGTGACAGGCTCGCTAACTTGGAATTGCGAGTAATTTGACAATATTTCAAAGATAATTGGTCATAATTTACATCGTTGGGAAGTACAACTGGTACCAAAATAACAAACTCATCTTTCAAGATGGTAATATGTTTAAGGTAGTTTCAAGGCTTCCATTGTACAACTATTAATTGGATTCCCGGAGCTTAGTAGCATTTAACTAGCGGATATACTGATCGAAGATTCGGAGACAGCAATACTCCAGCTTCTTTTCAAGCTTCATATTAGTACCTAAAAAGGGTTAGAATCTTGGTGACTGGGAGGATATGACCGTCGCCTATTAACTATCCTAGAAGGTCACTTGTAAGATCCTGAGAAATGTAGGCAAAAATGAAAAATGAAAAATGAGATGAAAAATGAGAAATGTAGGTTTCA